TACCTACAGATCTTCTACTGTATTACTCAATACACCCTTCTTCAACTTGTACCAGTGGAGCAACAAGAAGAAGATAAAGCTCGAATGAGATCTAGAGAGAGAGGCGTGTTTCACGTGAGAATGAATTCTATTCTCTTCTCATGAGCTTAATGATGTATATATAGAGCTACAGTAGGGACCCTAAGGAGATTAGGAAAAGGGCTCCTTAATTAATTAGACTAACTGTGGGCCAAACCCACTCCTCTAATTAATTAAATAATATTAATGGGCCACCAACATTATATTATTGCACTCCCTTTCCCTAGCCCAAATTACATTTGAGACTCCAATAATAATTACTCGATTTACCTCCCCACGTTTAAGATATAATGTCCATTAATTAATTCGATTACTGACAATCAAGAATTAATTAATTTATTATTATTTCACCGAAGCTAGCGCTCGTTCATCACATTCTTATTATGCCGGAATTTAATCCACCTGCAGGGTTTAGCATAACAATCCTTCATGAACTCACTCCGGGGACATCATCAAACTAACGCACATGGTGACCGTAAATATCCTAACAGCACATCCTATATATAATAATATTACCCAAAACAGTAGGAATATTAATCCAGCGAACTGAACCTCACCCATGTGAATCAAAGTAATATATATTATATATATCTGCCTGTTTAATATCTTACGGGTTAAGAGAACGCAGTAATTAACCGAGGCCTAGTTCATTTACGACGATCAGTATAAAATGAACTTCTCCTCTCTGGGATCCTGTTCAATACATAAATGTACTAGTGCAACTAATCAGTCAAGACAAACTGTACAGTTGACACTACAACCGTTCGGATGGGGTGTTCATGTCCATCTAGGTTGTGAACAACTATTCTTGTTCGCAAGTGACTGATAGAGTGATCTTCGGTTCGCCCGATGACGACCCACCCTATCTAAGTGCAAAACAACAGAACGTAGAACTTGTTTAATCTAACATGATTCTCATTCATAAAGGGTAAATGTGTAATAACATGCAAAGCCAAGCTTTCAGTATATAACACTAACATGCACTGGATGGCTTGGGACAAAATCTCTATACCTAAGAAGGAAGGAGGACTTGGCTTTCAGGATATCAGACTTTTCAACAAAGCACTAATAATAAAACAGCTGTGGAGAGTTATAGCAAATCCTGACCTTCTTGTGAGCAAAGTGCTGAAGAGTAAGTACTTCCCTACTTCCTCTTTGTTTGACTACAGTAAGAAGAGTGGTGCTTCCTGGCTTTGGAATTCATGGGCCTCCTTCATTCCTATTCTGAAGACTCACCTAAGCATTCTTATTAAAAATGGAGTGAACACAAAACTTAATGATCACAATTGGATTCCAGAACATCAGGATGGTATACCAAAGTTGAGGGTGCAGATTGAAGGGCACAATTTTTGTGTGAAAGACCTACTAATGGCTGGAGGATGTGAATGGGATGAGGCCATTGTCAGAGCTCTGTTTGAGGAGGAAACTGCAGATAAAATACTCCTGATTAAGCATCTGAACCCTAGAGCTCAAGATCAGTGGGTAAGTCCCTTCCTGAACAAAGGCTGTTTCTCTGTGAAAGCTGCATATGATATTCTGATTAAGGGTAAGATAGAGAGGATGAGACAGGCTGAGAGCAGTCTGAGTGCAGAAGGAAACATTAGAGCAAGACTGAGATGCTGGCAACTGAAAGTTACAAACAAGCTGAAGCATTTTATCTGGAGATGTTTTTCAAACATACTACCAGTGAATGCCAATATTATCAGCAGGGGAATGGAAGTGGAGAGTGTCTGCAGTGTTTGTGGAGAATCTGAGGAAACTCAAGAACATGTGCTATTTTATTGCAGCAGGGCTAGAAACACTTGGAAGTTGGCACCAGTCCAATGGAACAGAATACAGCATGAACAATTGAACTTCAAAGAATGGTGGTGGTGGATCAGTACAATGAAAAAGCAAGACATATGTGAGGACAGAATCCAAGTGTCAACCTACATCCTATGGTGGCTGTGGCGTGCTCGAAATCTTTGGGTGTTTGAGAAGAAATGGCAGACTGAGACATGGATCATGAGAACAGCTATGCAAGAATGGTTGGATTTCTCCCATGTTAGAGCTATGAAGTGACAGACTGAAAGAGAAGGCACTAGGTCTCGAGTCAGTGGTGTTCTTTAATTTTGTGTTCTGTTACTTCATTTTCTATGTTATTCCTATTCTGTTTGGGATTTGGTAGTATTGATTAAGTATGTATGGTGTCATTTAGTTTGGTAGTATTGATTAGGCAGTATTGTTGTGTACTTGGCCTCTCATTTGTACATTTGAACATTCCTTCTTGTTTGGGTTATTATATGAGTGATTATGCCGTTGGAAAAAAAAAAAAAAGTCAAACATTTAATTAAAAAGTCAAAGTGTGACACAATAACAAAAAGTACAGTGTGGGAAATGAGAAATTCAGACCGTATAGTGAGAATTGGATTTTGTCAAAATTGTGTGAGAAATGAGATCGTTCAACAAACCATTAGAAAAGATGCACCGATAATTTTACCAAGAAAATTAATTTGAAATTTATTCACCAAAAGATTGAAAAAATAGTTAAGAAAAAGAAAAAAGATAAGGTAACATTCATTTTTAAATATTCACCCGTTATTTCTTAAAAAACAGTATCTGAAATTGATTTGCTCAGTTTTTTTTTCTTATCTCATGTGTTTTTAAAAACATTTCTTATAATAGTAAGTCAAATATTTAATTAAAAAGTCAAAGTTACTATTTATGTATTTTTCCAACAACTTTTTTATATTAGTATAGATGTAAATATAAATAATAATGCAGTTTATTTAAACAAAACATTATAAATAAATTAAGGTTTCATGTTATTTAAACAAAATATTATAAATAAATTAAGGTTTCATGTCCAAATATCCCAACACTAAAAAGGTTTGGAGAAAAATGTGAGCAGGAGATGAGATGACGAAAACATGGACCCGCAGAAATCGGACCAACACACATACTCCAAATTCCAAACATCAAATCTATACTTATATAATAAGGTGTACCATTCACGAAATTTAGTAAATTGAAAAGTCAATACAATAAATGCAGTACTATTTTGAGCAACATAATATAATATCATATCTATACTTATATAAAAGAAGATTCTATTTACTACATTTACTATCCAGAAAAGTCAACTGCATTAAATGACATTACTATTTTGATATTTAATATTTATTTATTTAATTGATTTATTTATTTTTTTATTTTAAAAAGGTAAGTATAATAAAAAGTTTTTTATAATAAAAAAAATCAAATACCAAATAAAAATGTACACTTTGACTTATTTGATTATATTTGGTATTTGATTATACCAAATATATTCATATTTAGTATATACAGTAAATACTTACTAAAGTATTTATTTGTTTTATTTGTCAAAGTTAAGTATAGATTTGTTTATATTATCAAATCATAAAAAAATATTAAATTCATATTGTAAAAAAAAAATCATATAATTTTATAACAATTCTACTACACTATTTAACAATATTTTTTTATTATATAATAAAATAATAATTAAATATTATATGGTGAACAACAATAAGTAAAACTGTTACTTTCTCTTATATCATTGGATAAATTTATATGCTAAAATTAAATTTTTGTATAAATGTTTTAGTGAGATAATATATTAATTATTTTACAAGTTAGATCTAACATGCTCATATTTAATGTTTTAAAAGATGTAGAAAAAAACTTATAATAACTCTATTGTTTTTTAGATTTAAACGTTGATTAAGTAAAAATTCCTAATTTTTTAGACATAAACGTTGATTAACACCATAGATTGAGAGTCTATATTTAGTAAAATTCCTAATTGTAATAAAAAAAATTCATTTTTTCTATATTTTAGAATATCTTTAAATTCATTATAAAAAAAAGAAAAAAAAAATACAATGAAAAAAACAAGTCAGCTATATATCGATTTGTTGTACTCCTCAATCAGATTCACAATTTGGCTACAAGGAAAGGAAATTCATTGATTAAAATATTATTTTGTCAGTAGTCTTAATGTACAACTTCACTTGAATATTATAAAACTTTTATTGAATCTTTTATTGAATATGACATCTTATAATATAATATTCTCCAAATAAATATATTCCATGCTTTGCACGGGTCACGTTAGGGGTGTTCACGGTCCGGATTGGTCCGGTTTTAGCCCAAACCATGACCAAACCGGACCTAACGGTTAATTTTTTTTCTTGTCCATAACCGGACCGGTTTTTTTTTTAACCCACAATCCGGACCGCATTGGACGGTCCGGTTTGGCGGTTAACCGGTTAAATCCAAAACTTGTTTTGGGCCTTCAATTTTTATTTTTTTCATTTTGGGCTTAATTTTTGTTTTTCAATTTTGGGTCCTAAAGAGATTATGTGGACTTAAAAATTAAGAAAAACAACAATAATGAAATAAAAAGTACACAATTCGTCTCATAAGCATAAAAATATACATTTCCTCCCATAAACATAAAAATACAAAAATGATGAAGATTAATTATGCAAACTGAACTCAAGCAAGTATTCATTTTTCAGTCAGTTTATACACCTGAAATAATAAGAGCAAATCATTCATAGTAAATGTATTGTATTTGTCGGCCATAGTGAATGATTGAATGTATATATATATATTTGTTATAGTTTTTTAATATTTACCGGTCCGGTCCGGTTAAATCGGCGGTTTGCCGCAGGTAATCCGTTAACCGGACCGGTTATTCCGAATTTTTAAAAAATTAACCACCGAATTTTTTAAGGCTTTTTTAATTGACCATTTAACCGATCCGCGGTCCGGATTGACGGTTTTTTCTGGTTAAAACCGGACCGTGAACACCCCTAGGTCACGTACGTACATTTTTTTTTATTTATGTATATAATTATAAGCATGTATAAATAGCCTTAAAATTGTGCATCTCGAATTGCACGGGCGATATACTAGTTAATATTAAGAAGAAGAAGAAGCAGGCAGATGAAGGATTTCTTCTTCGTCTTCTACTTTTTGATCGTTGATTACTGTCGATGATTTTTTTTCGCATCAAATTATTACCCTCCGATCAGGAATCCCTGTGAGTGAGAATCATTTTTTTTCACCTATTTCCCTTTCCATTTGTGCTTTCTCTTTGGAATTGCATCG